TATTATGATATATTGTGATACACTGTGATACTTTTTTTTCTCTGACTCGTGATACACACAGAGTTGTTGAAAACCATAGGTCCTTGGCAAGGCCAGTAAAAATTTGTCTGGACTGATAACTTACAAGAAAAGGTCAGTCAAATGATTGTTTTAAAAAAAAATCGGGGATGATGCAATTTTTAGCTCACCTGAGCTGAAAGCTCAAGTGAGCTTTTCTGATCACATTTTGTCCGGCGTCCGTCTGTCTGTCTGTCCGTCTGTCTGTCTGTCTGTCTGTCCGTCTGTCTGTCTGTCTGTCTGTAAACTTTTCACATTTTCGACTTCTTCTCAAGAACCACTGGGCCAATTTCAACCAAACTTGCCACAAAGTATCCTTGGGTGAAGGGGATTCAAGTTTGTTCAAATGAAGGGCCATGCCCTCTTTCAAGGGGAGATAATTAGGAATCAGTGAAAAAATAATGGCAACATTTAAAAATCTTCTTCTCAAGAACCATAGGGCCAGGAAAGATGAAACTCATGTGGAAGCATCCTCAGGTAGTGTACATTCAAATTTGTTCAAATCATGACCCCCGGGGGTAGGGCAGGGCCACAATGGAGGATCAAAGTTTTACATAGAAATATATAGGAAAAATCTTTAAAAATCTTCTTCTCAAGAACAGCAAAGTCATGATGAGTTATATTTATATGGAAACATCCTCAGGTAGTGTAGATTCAAGGTTGTTCAAACCATGACCCCCGGGGGTAGGGCGGGGCCACAATGGAAGATCAAAGTTTTACATAGAAATATATAGGAAAAATCTTTAAAAATCTTCTTCTCAAGAACAGCAAAGTCATGATGAGTCATATTTATATGGAAGCATCCTCAGGTAGTGTAGATTCAAATTTGTTCAAATCATGGCCACCGGGGGTAGGGCGGGGCCACAATGGAGGATCAAATTTTAACATAGAAATATATAGGAAAAGTCTTTAAAAATCTTCTTCTCAAGAACAGCAAAGTCATGATGAGTCATATTTATATGGAAGCATCCTCAGGTAGTGTAGATTCAAGTTTGTTCAAATCATGACCCCAGGGGGTAGGGCGGGGCCACAATGGAGGATCAAATTTTAACATAGAAATATATAGGAAAAGTCTTTAAAAATCTTCTTCTCAAGAACAGCAAAGTCATGATGAGTCATATTTATATGGAAGCATCTTCAGGTAGTGTAGATTCAAGTTTGTTAAAATCATGACCCCAGGGGGTAGGGCGGGGCCACAATGGAGGATCAAAGTTTTACATAGAAATATATAGGAAAAATCTTTAAAAATCTTCTTCTCAAGAACGGCAAAGCCATGATGAGTCATTTATATGGAAGCATCCTCAGGTAGTGTAGATTCAAATTTGTTCAAATCATGACCACCGTGGGTGGGGCAGGGCCGCAATGGACTATCAAAGTTGTACATAGAAATATATAGGAAAAATCTTCTTCTCAGGAACAGCAAAGCCCAGATTGTTCATATTTATATGGAAACATCCACAGGTAGTGTAGACTCAAATTTATTCAAATCATGACCCCCGGGGGTAGGGCGGGGCCACAATGGAGGATCAAAGTTTTACATAGAAATGTATAGGAAAAATTTTTAAAATCTTCTCAGGAACAGCAAAGCCCTGATTGATCATATTTATGTGGAAGCATCCTCAGGTAGTGTAGATTCTATTTTGTTCAAATCATGACCCCCGTGGGTAGGATGGGGCCACAATGGAGGATCAAAGTCTTAAATAGAAATATATAGGAAAATTTCTTCTTCTGAAGAACTGCAAACCATGATTAGTCATTTTGATATGGAAGCATCCTCAGGTAGTGTAGATTCAATTTTGTTCAAATGATGACCCCCAGGGGTTGGATGGGGCCCATTGGGGGATCGAAAGTTTTACATAAGAACATATAAAAAAAATATTTCTTCTCAAGAACAAGAAAGCTATGTTTAGTCATATTGATATGGAAGCATCCTCAGGTAGTGTAGACTCAAGTTCAAATGATGACCCCTGGGATAGGGAGGAGCCACAATTGAGGATCAAATTTTTACAAAGGAATATATGGGAAAATTTTTTAAAAAATCTTCTCAAGTACAATAAAGCCATTTGTTATATTGACCTGGAAGCATCATCAGGTAGTTTAAAATTCACCCCCCCCCCCTCCCCCCCCACCCCCAGGTAATCTTTTCAATACTGAACTGATTTGTGCTTTTGCCTTGCCAATGTGCTCAGGTGAGCGATGTGGCCCATGGGCCTCTTGTTTAAAATTCTGGATCGTGGTACACAGGTGAAGGTTACAGCAGAGATGGCTATGTGGTGACAATAGTTGATCAAACTTGTGAAAGCAGAGACATATATATATAATTATATAATCATATTTTTAACATTTCTGATTAAAGATTCTCTATCTTAAGAAATGAAACCTGTGTGATCGAAGGCTGTTGAAAGAATAAATTAAGGGCATTTTGGTGTAGTTATTTATTTTCCTTTCTCGGTGTACAAAATAAAGTACATGTATCTGGTCTGACAAAACTTTGTCCAGTCCAACAGTTCATTTGACTTCTGACAGACCAGATGTCTGACAGTGCAATGTAATTTAAAAATTTCAACAACTCTGTACAGAGCCCTAATGAAATGAGGACTTTAACAGGAACTTCATTCTTTGAATCATAACCTTTTGACTTCAGTCAGTTTCAGTGGCTTTGTTCATGTACCTGTACTTGTATAAAAAAAGTGTACAGTGTACTATTCACTGCTTGCAGCATGTATGTGAATATTTTTACATTATAGGATTTACTGCCATCCAGTCACAGATGTGAGATGCTGAAGCAAGCACTGAAGTCCAACAACTGGATAAAGTATGCATGATTACATTTATCCATAAATGTGAATTATTACTTTTTAACATTAAACATTAAAAAAAAGAGCTTTTGTTAACAATTATAGTAAATCTTATTTGTAGTGTATCTATGGTAATCAACATCAAAATGACTTCATTGTAAATGTGTAGTAATGTACTGCCGCAAGACATTACCTCTCTTTCATTATTTAGTAATACATGTACATGAAAAAAGTTATCTTTATAAATGCTATCTTTCATTGGAGGGACAATGAAAGACCTTATAGAATGCCATGACCTTGAACCAAGGTCATTGAAGAAATATGTGAGCTTGCATGGTCAGAGTATTTCTAGTTTATCCTTCTATTTTAAGTTTAGACACATGGGAATGTGAACAATCCAAATGGTTAGAAACCGCGAAAGTTTTGAAGTACCATCAAGCCAAAGTTGACAGAGAGTACACCACCAAGACAAAACCAGCGCCAACAAAGAAGAGGAGGAAAGATCTACGGAATGTTCACATCAACAGCAATGACAGTGAATATGGTAGGTGTGAAGCTGGCTGATCACATGAATTTATTCTATTACTAACTTGTACATTAATAAACATGTAAAAGTGTGTGAAAATCTGTTTTTTTACAAACCTGTTTTCTGTTGACATATCAGGACAAATATTATAAAGAAAATATTGGAAGAAGATATGTTTTTTTGGCCAATAATAAATCTCTTCCCTTGGATTAGATAAATTTGTCCACCTTCAATCTGCTTCAATTCCTCCTTAGAGCCGTGGTGGCACTTTGAACCAACCTTGGCACAAAATTACAAAGTAGAAGAAATTTTAAAGTTCTTAAAATTGTATAATTGTCATACATGTATATGATAGGGTCATTGACAGTTGTGTAATACAAGATAATCATTAGGATGTATTATAATAAAGACTGTAATACATGTATGATCATTAAAGTTATATATAACTAGTTTCATGGTCAAAATTTCTGTTACAAAACAGATTCAGGTTTTTGAAAAATGTATGTTATAAAATCTAATACAATTATTAGCTCACCTGAGCTGAAGGCTCAAGTGAGCTTTTCTGATCACATTTTGTCCGTCGTCCGTCTGTAAACTTTTCACATTTTCGACTTCTTCTCAAGAACTACTGGGCCAAATTCAACCAAACTTGCCACAAAGTATCCTTGGGTAAAGGGGATTCAAGTTTGTTCAAAGAAAGGGCCACGCTTTCTTTCAAGGGGAGATAATTAGGAATTAGTGAAAAAATAATGGCATCATTTAAAAATCTTCTCAAGAACCAATTAGCCAGGAAAGATGAAACTTATGTGGAAGCATCCTCAGGTAGTGTAGATTCAAGTTTGTTCAAATCGTGACCCCCGGGATAGGGTGGGGCCACAATGGGGAATCAAATTTTACATAGAAATATATAGGAAAATATCTTTAAAAATCTTCTTCTTAAGAACAGCAAAGCCATGATTGGTCATATTTATATGGAAGCATCCCCAGGCAGTGTAGATTCAAGTTTGTTCAAATCATGACCCCGTAGTTAGGGTGGGGCCACAATGGGTGATCAAAGTTTACAGAGGAATATATAGGAAAAAATCTTTTTCTCAAGAACAGAAAAGCCATGATTAGTCATATTGATATGGAGGCATCCTTGGATAGTGTAGAATGATTTGTTCAAATGAGGGTCCCCAGAGGTAGGGTGGGGCCACAATGTGGGATCAAAGTTTTTCATAAGAGTATATAGGAAAAAAAACTTTAAAAATATTCTTCTTAAGAACAGCAAAGCCATGATTGGTCATATTTATATGGAAGCATCCTCAGGTAGTGTAGATTCAAGTTTGTTCAAATCATGACCCCGGAGTTAGGGTGGGGCCACAATGGGTGATCAAAGTTTACAGAGGAATATATAGGAAAAAATCTTTTTCACAAGAACAGAAAAGCCATGATTAGTCATATTGATATGGAGGCATCCTTGGGTAGTGTAGAATGAAATTTGTTCAAATGAGGGCCCCCGGGGTAGGGTGGGGCCACAATGGGGGATAAAATTTTTACAAATGAATATATGGGAAAAAATCTTCTGCTCAAGAACAGCAAAGCCATTTGTTATATTGATATGAAAGCATCATCAGGTTGTTTAAAATCCCCCCCCCCCCCCATAAACTTTTCAATTCTGAACTGATTTTTGCTTTTTTTCCTAGCCAATGTGCTCAGGTGAGCGATGTGGCCCATGGGCCTCTTGTATATATTGCAGGAACAGTTATTAAAAAGATATTCTTCCTCTACAATGTGCCTTTAAGCAAGGCATAAATTCAGTGAAATTGCTTGTTTTCAATGAAAAAAACTTATCTTTAAAGAGGAAATGACAGTTGATGACCATAATGCAATAAATGCCGCCTTGAAGAAGGACAGTGTTAATGTTAGACTTCTTTGTGGAGCTGATCTGCTGGAATCCTTTGGAACTCCTGGACTGTGGGCTGACAAAGATGTAAGTATTGATCTATTTCTAATGTAGCACCCCACAAGCTAACGAACAATTTAATGCAATTTTTCACCATGTTCACAATATCTGACAAACCATTAAGGTTTAGCTGGTATAAGCAATCAGTCTAACTCTGCATCTGCTATTCAGCATCATTCACAGGTGATTTTATGTGAAGAGACAAATAGGAATTGCTTTAGTTTTCCTATCTTTTTTCTCAACTGTTTGGTCTGGAGTCCTGCAGGCAACAATCTTTTTTTGGCTTTACGGCAGTGTTAATCTGGATCAAATCCTGTACATTCAAGTTGTACAACTTTTCAATTCTGACTTGAAATAAATCAAATTTCAGTTGGTTGTTTAATCTGATGTTGTGATCTTGATTCTAGGTCATAGTAAAAAAAAAAATCTTGTTCATGCTATCTTTTGCAAACCTTGATTTCAAAGCAGCATAATGTAGCCTTTGAACTAAATGTGTGTTAATATGATATTGGTTCAAGGTCACAATTTCCTCTAACAGGAAAGATACATGTTTCAAGTTTATTACAAGTACTAGCATCACAAACTCTGAGAACACCATTTACCAATTTTGTATCACTATGGCCTAGTTCTAGAAAATAAAAACTAATGAATTCTAGTCTTTTTAGTTTTGAAGCCAAAAGTGACTGCATTTTCAGCAGAAATATAAGAATGGCATAACGTAGATATAAATATTGTATTGATATCAATGTTGAGTTCATTATATGAAACATACTTTTTTCCACAAGGCATAATTCCACAGAATCACAATTTCAGTTCAATCTGCAAGTAGAAAATTCTTTGGATTTCTGGGATTGTCATTATATGCCCTTAAATGAATTTTAAGTACCCTGTGACAAATTTCTGCAGAGGAATTGTGACTGTGTACATAGCAGAAATTAATTCTACGTGGAGAGAAGTATGTCTTTAGTATCTGAAACATTTTCAACAATACACAAAGCAACATGAGCTTGTGAAAACAATTACATTATTAGATGTAGAAGCATTTATTACATTTTCAACTGTGAAATACTATACATTTATTGACTGGGTCCGAGGGCAACATGCGTTTTGTCAGACCCAAGAACCGTTAGGCTGAAGGCAAACAGTTTGGTTTCGAGGGGTCGACAAAACACATTTTGCCCGAGAACACGGTCAATAAATGTTTTGTTATATCTTTTATTTATTTTTTTTATTTTTGTTTTTTTTTTGACATTCATGTATGTTGAACACCAACGAATGCAAATGAGATTTAGCTGACCCCGCCCATTATGTGACATAAGCGGTCCAACATCTCATCAACAGGTCCAATATCTCACTCCACAGACAAACATCGATTTTTTTATGCCCGCTCAGTAAAACATTGGAAATGTTAGACTTTTATTAGTATTGATTTATATAGGAACAAATTTTTAAAGGTGTAACAATGTAATTTATTTACTTAATAAAAGTGATATTCTGACAGAGTGTAAAAGGATATCAAAATGGTATTCTCACAGTGTGAGAATATCAGAAGTGTGGCAAAACTTAAAATTTTCTTTCCCTTCACAAAGAGTGTTTTTAAAAAAGAAATTCCCGGAGACAGAGTTAATGAGCCATCTGTGACGGTACATATTGTCGTTTTGTACATATTGTCGTCGGCAACAATATGTACCTACCCTCACGGCACATACAGTCGTCCATTGGGACATATTGTCGCCGACTACAATATGTACCGAGACAAGCCTTATTTTCCTCCTGCATAATGGACGACAAAATGTACAGTCAAGCACGAGCACATATTGTCGTTGGCAACAATATGTACAGTCAAGGTCGGCATATATTGTCGTTGATATATTGTTTTGATGAATATTTTCTTGAGAAAGGAAAGAGATATTGTAGAGAGAAAACTTTTTGGTCAGAAAATTGTGTCCAGGATTGATGTACTTTACCATGATATGTCAAAGATTCTTGTACTACATACTTGGAGATTGAATATATGCATTACCTGGTAGTTTTTTTGTTCAGTAGTAATGATTATTTGGAAATCTTTTTTTTTTTTGCGTTATTCTCATATACAATCATGTGCCGATATAATTGGTGTTGGGGTTGATACTTTTAGATCACCTGATCTGGAAGTTCAAGTGAGCTTTTCTGATCACATTTTGTCTGACTTTCCCTCTGTCTGTAACCTTAATAGCGTCTGTAATAGCATATGTTCAATTTTGTTGTGCTAGGTTGCACAAAAAAGATTCCTCATTGCTCCACGACCCTGAGAGCCAAGTATAGGCACCATTTTGTAATTGGATCCACCACTGAGAAACAGCAGTAAGCCCATGATTAGTGATGTTTATATGGAAGCATCCTCAGGTAGTGCAGTCTCACGTATCTTTAAATCAAACCGGGCCTAGGGTGGGTCCACAATGGGCGATCAAAGTTTTACATAGGAATATATGGGAAAATTCTTTAAAAATTATTTTCTTAAAAACAGTAAAGCAATGATTAGTCATATTTATATGGAGCATTGCTGTGCATTGTCTTGCGACACGTTCTGTTGGACGACAATTGAATATGCGCAGTGAGGGTAGGTACACATTGTCGCTGGCGAAAATATGAACAGGATGACAAAATGTACTGTCACAATCACACTGCAGGAAATAGCATACGAGACACGTCAGTGTGATTCACACACCAATTGCATTCACAAAACTACCAAAAGACAACAAAAGAAATGTTTAAGCAACAATATCTGTGGGGCGACAATATGTACAGTGAGGGTGAGGCACATAATGTCGCCAGCTACAATATGTACATGTGTAACTTTTCAGCCGGCGACAATATGTATCAATGAACGACAATATGTGCAGTGAGGGTAGGTACATATTGTCGCCGACGACAATATGAACCGTCACAGCCATCCTGACAGAGACTAATAGTTATGCTGCCAACGTTTTTCCAAATATGTCGTTAAAAATTCCTGTTTACAATGTTTTTCAATCTCGCAATCACTTAGCTACATTGTATGACATCTCAACTGCTCAACTATGACGTCACAGCCTGTGACACTGTGTTACAAAAAGACAATGGCAAAGGGAAAATCTAAGAAAATGTAATAAACAGAAAATTTATTGTTTGGAGATGAATATGGAATTTATTTCACTCATGAGACAGAATTTTGTGATATTTTCACTGGTGCTTCGCACTCGTGAAAATATAAAAAAAAATCCTGTCCCACTCATGAAATAAATTCCATATTCATCTACAAAACATTGAATATCCTCTATATATCATATGGCAATGTCATCTTGAAATGAATCAAATCTTGTCAAGCTGTAATTTTGTAATTTTTGTGTTCTTTATAAAATATTCAATCTTCAGTATGTTAATGCTTGTGAACAGAACTAGTCAAGGGTGTCATGCTTTTGACCCTAAAAACAGAAAATTTCTGTGAAATTCTTTTCAAAATGCTACTCCTACAGATTTCAATAAGACTCTATGCACATGTAAACTACCCTAAGATGCATAATTCTGTGTATCAGCTTTTTTTTATATCAATAAATACATTCAAGTATTGCCATGGTTTCTAAAAAATAAAAAAAAATCTGTGAAATTCTTTTAAAATGCTACTCCTCCTACAATATTACATGTAGTCTGATTTTAATAAAACTTTTCATAGAAGTAGACTACACTTAGGTACATAATTCTTAATAATATCAGATTTTGATATTGATGAATAATGTTGCCAAAGTGACTAAAAATTGAAATTTTTTTGGACATTCTTTTAAAGTGCTACTCCTCCTACAGTTTTAGTTCGATTTCAATAAAACTTTGTAAACAAGTAGAATACATGAAGATACATAATTTTAGAAAGCAATTATTGATTTGAGGTACCACATTGTCATGGTTACTAAAAATAGAAATTTCCATGATATTCTTTCAAAACAGTTTTTGTCTTGATTTCGAATAAAATTTCATACGCAACTAAACTACCGTACACTAAAATATATGCATAATTCTGAATATCAATTTTTGATTTTGACAAATGGTGTTTTCATGGTAACTAAAAATAGAAAATTCTGTGAAATTCTTTCAAAGTGCTACTCCTCCTACAGTTCTAGTCTGATTGCAATAAAAGCTGCCACACAAATAGATTTACTCAAGGATTATTAATCTATTAATTGCAGTATAGACATAGTTTCAGCCAAAGTGCTACTTTTCCCTTCTTTTTTCATAAGTACAAACCAGTAGAGCTTCAGTCTTGTTGGAATTTTACTAATTATTTTTTTAAAGTGTGTTATCTAGTGAATTTTATTCTTTCCTTTTGTAGATTGAAGACATAGTTGGAAAATATGGACTTGTTTGCATAACAAGGGCAGGTTCAGACCCAAGAAGATTTATATATGAATCAGATGTTTTAACCAAATATCAGGTACAATTTTATTTGGATGAATTTCGCCCCTAAAACCATGATTGACAAACTTTGAACACTCTTTAGGAAAGAAATTAAGATTAAAAAGCTGGAGTTAATGAATGTGTACTTCTTTCAATACAAAGACACATTTTTGTGTTACAGTAGCTTTTCAGTGTTTGACAATATATCAGTATATGTATGTTTTGCAGGAAAATATCTTTATAGTGACTGAATGGATATTCAATGATATTAGTTCAACAAAAATCAGGTATTTCATTTCCATTGTTTTCCCAAGTTCATTTAAACAGCAGAATTTCTGCAACTGTCATAATTTGAATCCCTCACCAAAACAAAATGATTTTATCTGAAAATGACAGAAACCAATTATCAGCACAATTCGTGAATGAAACTTTTTTTACTTTACCCATATGTAACATCTTAGGTACAATTAAAATAGCCTATATGACTGTGATGGTATTTTTCTGTTGTTTCAGGCGAGCGCTGAGGCGTGGTGAGAGTGTGAAGTATCTTTTACAAGATGTTGTGATAGACTATATTAAGGAGAATCATCTTTATGGCGTCGAGGACAAGTGAGTGACGTGGGCATGGACACACTTGTCTACTGCTCTACAGCTGTCGTAACAAACTTAGCTTAACCTTCTTAATATATATATATTTTCTGTATGTATTTCTCTGTGTTGAACAGTGTGAGAAAAGTTCATTTTATTTTTTATTTCCAGTGATTTTTTGTATTCTGTGATGCGATATCTATAAACATTTTATTGAATGAAAGGTACAGTTTTATTTCATGCCCTATAATCTTTTATTCCATGTAACATTTTTTTTAGTTTCATTTATTTCAATATCTGGGTCTGCATGACTTGAATCTGCAACTAAAGATCAGAGAACTTTTGTGTATATTTGTTCATGCCCAACCTGCTTGTAAAAAATATTTTAAAAGAATTGTGTCACCTTTAACTTTATTGTTTTTCTTGTTAGAGGTATTATTTTAGCTTTAGAAGCAAGGAAGTACATGTTCACATGCTATTGACCATTATAATGCATTTTTATGGCTGCCAAATTAATTTATTGCATGTGTTATGCTTGTTTAACATTTTGTTATGCATCTATCATTATTCATAAGCAATGAAAATAATTTTAACTAGTCAGTGTGTACTTTGTTGTGCTTGTGACAAAAAATATAATTATATAAATGGAATATTTACTTCTAAACTTCTTATGGACCATATAAATTTTAAGTTTACTTTAGCAGGCAGACATTACTTGTATTTTACCTAAGAGATCATTTTAATGCCATGAATATGGCTGGGGCATATGGTGTCTGTCAACTCAGTCCTCTGTTCTTCCATACACTTTGCATTTACCTCAGTTTTAAGGAAACTGTTAAAGAATAAAGATATTTAACAAAAATTCATACACTGAGACATATAAATGAGAGCTATTCAACTGTGGCTTAATTTTGTGACTTTGACCTCACTATTCCCGATTTTGTTTTCAAAGAAACTGTTCAAGATATTTTCTTCAAACTTCATACAAAGATACAAACTGACAACAGCTATTCAACTGTGTCATAATTTGCTGACCTTGACCTTCTCTATGACACTGACCTCACTACTGTTTTGCATTTAGCGAAGTTAAGAAAAAATGCTTTATAATATTTTCATCAAACCTCATACACTAGTAGCAATTGGTGAGAGCTGTTCAAATTGGTTTGAGCTATTGAACTGTTTCTTAATTTTATTTTTAATATCTTGACATTCTCTGTCACCTTTACTTCACAAGATATTCTAATCAAATTTAGTACAAGTTACATATTGGTTAGAGTTATTAAACTCCATCATATTTTCTGACTTTGACCCTCTTCGGACTTTGACCTTCCAATGACCTTGATCTTCACTTTTGAGGATTTTTTTTTATCAAACTGCGTACACTAAGGTGCATATTGGTGAGCGCAATTCTACCGTGTCACTATTTTCTTAAGTTGACCTTTCAATGACCTTGACCTTTCTTTTGTAGCTATCCACATTTCAGAAAAGTGTTCAAGATATTTTCATTTAACTTTGTATAGTGGTACAAATTTGTGGATGCAATTAAAGTGTGTTATAATTTTTTTTTATCTGAAACTCCCTTATTACCTTGAATTTTTATTTTCCTCAATTTGTTTTAATTTCATCTTATTTTGATTCCGTAGTGGGTTACTTCATTAACTCCATACACCAGTGAATCTGCAAGAGCATTTAATTTATTCATACTTGCATCATATATAAATTTGCTAAATATGAAGGTATCAGTTCTATACCAGTATATGAAGAAAATAAGAAAATTATTCCTAGTTTCATCATATTTTTACTATTATCTCAGACCAAAGAAGGTATATTCCTTTTCATGTTGCAATGCATCTTTAATTTGGTGGGGCATCCATTTCCTTTGGACATATTTCTAAGTTTTTTAATTGCCCTTGAATATAATTCAGAGGTACTAGTTGTTGCCCAGTTTGTCAACCTGTTCAGCTATTACTTTCCATTTTCAGGGAAAATCTATTTATTTTTTTTTTTACACTATTGACCAATGCTATTAGATTACATGTCACTTTTTTAAAAATTGCAGGTAAAAATTTGTTGGCACCCGTACTTAATGTCCCATAACAGTAATATCATCCAAGTAAAACATAATGCTTTCAAGTTTTCTTTAAACATCGATTACAATTCTGTTGCAAGCTAGAATACTACACTCTTTGCAACAATGTAATGCAATGAAGGTTGGAAAGGCAATATAATACACTAGTAAGTTAAAAAGCATGTACAGTAACGGACTGTAAAAATCGTGTTCATGTTTAGTTTTTTTTTTTGCATTAGAAAATAAATGTGGCTATGTTTATGTATTTTAATAGTCCCTGATCAAACCAATTTACAGTTGTCAGGGTGTTATTTTATTAAACGTGCACAGATTCCACCATGTTTTTTTTTTATTAACTGCTGGTTTGATTGTATGGTGAGTGACGGTCATACATGTGAAAGGATACCAAACATTGTTTACTTATATAATGTTCAAGTTTTTATCACCTAGAACTTTTACTCAGGCAACTTCTGTTCATTTCTGTGTTTGTTATACCTTGTATCTGTTACATGAAAGTATTTATCAAGAAGATTGTTTGGGATTTTAAAATCTTACTATTAATAGTGATATATGGAAACATCTTTATCACCAACCAAGACTGTCTCAATATATTGCTAATAAAAGTATATATAAAAGATTTTCAACCGTACCTTATTCACTGCATAAAAGTATAAAATATTTAGTAGAACATTAAAGGATGTTTTTTTAAGCAGTTGTATAAAAAAATTCAGTTGTAGTTTAGATGAGCAGCCACCATGAGAGTCCATGATCAGGTCCATCTTCTCAATTATCATAGTGATGATTGGATTGCATTGCTAGAGGCAGCTTACATGTCTCTTGTCATTGTGAATGTGCTGAATTTTAAATGCTTAGACTGCATGAAAACCGATATCAAGTATTAAATCAAAATATTTGAGGTATTAAATTAATTGCCCTTAATGGATTGATTTGTAGAATTTTTTTGATTGAAATCAGAAATTGAATGTTGTCAAAAAATCAAGAAACCTTAGAAAAAGAGGAAAATATATTTGAATATCACAAAGCTTCACTTTTAGCAAAATGCATGAAACTGCTCTAGAATATTTTAGTCCCAATATTGCCAACCCTTATCAAGTTGTAGAAGGAGAAAAAAAATCCTGAAATATATAAAGTTCATAAAAAAAAAAAAAGATCTTGGATGGTACATTAGTCAATGTTATTATTCTACAGCTTTAATATATTACATGTAAATGAATTGGATCAATCTAAATTTTCCATTTTTCTCTTTCCTGCTGCTTGGAAACAGTAAGTATGTAAATGATATTATTCCCTCGCCCATGGCAGATAGTGCTTTTTCAGAAGTACAGTGGAACCAAGAAGATCAAACTTCAGACCAAGAGGAGGTGCCAAGGTCACCAAAGAGGCTAAATGAGGAGCCTTTCGAAGGGCCCCCTTCTCCCAAATCCCCTCGACATGTTCCATGTATGGGCCCAGATCTGGGATCTCTTGTGAGACGTGTTAGAAATGTACGGATTGTAGCTTATGCTCCAGAAACTTGCGTGTGATGAGCACAGCTTTTTGATGATGCACCTTTTGTTGTATATATATCAAAACTACCCATGCTGACTGCTGGCTTCTTGATTTTGAAAGCATTTGAATTTTTTCACCATAATTTGCTTCCCATTTTTCACAAAAATTTCAAGTGTGTATGAAGTAATTGCTTAATATCCATGAGGTCAGCTGACTGAAGGTCTCTATAATTTAATCAGCATTCAATCTTCTTGCTGTATTGATTAGTTTGATTGTCTGTCAACAGCTCTTGAATGATGATCACTGGAAGAAATGACCAGAAATTCAATTAAATGCGATCATATAGTGTTGTATTGATTCATGTGTGAAAGTTCATCGACATGTATTCTCTTGGTGCTAGCCATACTTTACAATCTGTACCTTCTCTTGTTGATTAAGACATCACCTATATATGTACATTATCATTTTCACAAAAAAAATTTCAATATTCATTGCCCAAAATGTTTAGTTGTCAGTGGCAAACTAACAAGACAAAAAAAAATGAGCTCTGTGATCTTTTTCATAAATTGATTTCATGGATTTTGCTTACAGCTCAAATCAAAGTTTTGTATTCAGCACATAATATAGATATAAGTATTACTGTGCAATATGAGACTGAAAAGCCAAAATACTGCTTTTACAGTTACTAAGTAGTTAGTGTAATCCACCTGTCAACCAAGATAGAATTAATATTACCATTTGCTGTCATATTGAGTTCTATGGCCCGGCCGGCCCTTTGCATTTTTATCTTTATACATGTAGATGTACCATGTCAGGGTTGTCCCAAAGAACTGAAGTAGCAGGGAACACTCAAAAAGTAGAAGGGGATCTGGGGTTCCTCTCCTAACCTGGGGTTGAGGAAAAATACTAGAGTAACCGGGGGATAATGTCATTATAAGCAGGGAAATTCCCCGGGTCTTAGAGACAACCTTGCATGTACAACCTTATACACATACAGCTATATACATTTATGCATTAATTAATTAATATGTATAACTGACACAAAAACGAAGTGCATGACCACATTTTTTTATTTAGTGTCCCTCTTTAAAAAGTACAAAACAAAATAACCTTTTCCTATATTGCATATACAATATACTAGAGAAATAAATGTAGGGTCATTTAATTGAAACCAAATTAAACACAGCTTGATTAGCTTTATGTATATCACATCTTGAAAAACTGAAGGCAAAGTAATGCACATGCATTTATCATGATCAGCACTATACATAACTTCCTATGAGTTATTGTAGTTAGTAAGATAATCATTTTGTATTTCCTATAAAGTTAATGCCTACTTAATCTTAGTCACATGCTCAAATGATGTAAATACAACTTTCAGGAAATTGTTTCCCTTTGTACTGGTTGGAGCTATATTACATGTACACTGTATACAAAATTAAAAAACAATTTACACCTATACAGTTGATGAGCACATCAAAATGGTCTAAATGACAATGAATCAGTAAATGTTAAACACAATACATTATTGCACCAATATTTGCATACTATCAATATTCATCACCACCTGCTTAAATTTACTTAGTGTCAATGTGACAAGCAATGACATATAGATCTACATATAAAACTTAAAGAGATGTGTAAATTTAAATACTGCTGAGATCTGTGTTCATTTTACATAAGTTGCTCAAGTTTACATGCTACAATTTACAGAACAAATTGTTTTATAATGTGTTTATATATACATGTATTGTATATGAAAAACTTAACATTTATGAAATATTCATTATAATAATTATCACTTTTTTTACTTTTACAATTTTCACCAACATTAAGAATTTTACAAGGACTGCCAAAAAAAAAAATTAAAGCATTAAAACAGCTCTAAGAAGCCATTAATAATATTCTGTGCTGGCCTCTTTTTCAGTACAGCTTTCGACAGGGGATGTTCCAACATCGCCGGGTGGAAAACCAATGAATATTTGCTTTTGTCAAAACCCAAAGACTCGCTATGTACTGTGGTAACATTGTCTACTATGACTGCAATATTTACCCCTGTTCTGCTCAGCCCTAATGTCAAATTAAACATTCTAAAAGTGCTTACTTTTTGCCTTTGTGAATATTTGTGTGTATTTTCTTTGTTTTGACGTTCTAATTAAGTGAAACAATCTGTTTGTAAGTGATTTTGAAGCAATTTTTTTTTCAACGTAATACATGCTTTAAGAGATGTTTTTTCGTGTTTCACTATTAATGAATGTGGAACAGATCTCTTTTTATCAATTATGAAATGCAACAGGAGCATGTACATTTTCAAAAAGCATGTACATTATTGTTACATTGAAAGGGACAAAAATTAGGAAATTATGTTCAAGTAAAATCTATTTGTACAATGCATATTTTTTTACTGTACTTAGTACTTTCATAACTTTAAGATTTTTAGTGGGGTAATGAAATACATAAAGAATAATACATTCCTTTTTCCATATCACATATTGTGTATCAGCCCGAGTCACCAATATCAGCTGAAGGGCTGAAGGCTTGAGGGCTGATATTGGTTGAGGGCTAATACACAGTGCATCATGGAAAAAAGTGAATTGTGACAACAGTTTGAATACTGAAACAGAAAATGGTCGGTAGTTGTTTTACATATCAATTATGGGGATGATTTTTTTCCTTGTAGTATAGTATAGAGATACCTTCATATTGTATGTTAGGATTTGTGATACACAGTGTATCACAAGGTACTTCCTATAGATTATCTATGAACAATTTTACTCAAAGTGACTTCTGGCAATCCAACTGACAAGAATTCTTAATTCTACCATGGTTATCACAAAGATCAAGGAGATGCCATGGCCATTATTCTCCAATAAATCACAAATGTCATCAGCAAATTATCAATAATTTTAAATCGGTATATTCCTCTAATTTTGACTGCCTTCACTAGGAAAAGGATAGAGGCAACTTTTCATTGTGACGCAAATTGGTGGGCAAAAATTTACTTTGGGTTCCAAAACATTGCACTTTTTCTAATGCTTGAGATACAAATAAACGAGGATAGCGTTCAATTGTGACATCATGAGACACTTCTGATGACATCCTAATCTAGCTTCTGCATTTCTCTATAGAGAAGTTTAAAATATTAGAATATTAGAATAGAAATAATTCCCTTGTTGTCGGAATTGTTGGAGAATATACCCCTCAGTCTTGAGATTTTGTTGGCAAATAAAACCTCACCCTTCGGGCTTGGTTTTTACTTGCCAACAAAATCTCTCAACTATCAGGGTATATTCGCCAACAATTATTTGTTAAATAAATATTCTATTGCTATATGTGCACTCTGTATTTATATGTATTGTAGCTAGTTTAGCAGTGTCCATATATAAACATATGTTACATTATGTGTTCTTTGAAGTTTAAAATATAAAATGCTGTGAAATGAAATCAACTAAGTGAATGAAAGCAAAGTTTAAAGAAAATTATCTGGTATGAGCACATGAATGTAGGTACAATACCATAATTGTGCTTGTTATGGCAATTACGTATGTACCAAGTAAGATGTACAAGGCTGTGATGACAAATATGTGTTACATGTTACATATTTTAATGTTATTTTATGTTAATTATAAGGCCAACTTTAAGATAATGTTTGTTTGCCCTCTCCCGACTCAGGCTGAAAAAATTGGGTCAGTAGGTAGATGGGAATTTTTTTTCCACCAGAAAATTTCAACCTCAATGCTGAATTTTCAAAATCTATTTTCTGGAATGCATAAAAAAAATAAGTTTCTTGGAGGTTGAAAAAATTGTTGAGTCAGGCCATTTTTAGCCAGTCAGTCGGGAGAGGGCAACCAAACAATTTTTTAAAGATGGCCTAATTGTTACCTACAGATATTATACAATGTTTACACTATATGACGTTACTGACTTCAGCCATAGGAGAGACTGATTTTCTATATAGCTGTTGTATTCAAGTATGACAATGTTAATTAAGATTAAGCTTTAGGTGAATCAATAGATTTAATAAAAAAAAAAAATTGAGTTTGTATTTTATTTTATATTTTCAGATATTTTGTTGTTTATACATATATTGTGTACTTATATGGAAACCATTCTGAAAATGTTATCAGTTTAAACGAACCATATCACTTGAATTCAATCACTCTGAAGATAAGCGATAAGTGGAAGAGTTGTCTCTAAGAGCTTGTGTTTGGTAGGGGGGACATGTGACCCCATGTCTTCCCAACACACATTGTCACTTTAATAGGAACTCGTAGCTGTACAAAGCTGTCACATAGTCTCTCACTGTCTTCCATCACAGACTTTATCAAAGCTGTTTAAATAATAAAGAAACCATGCACTCAAGTTCTCCAAAAGAGCAAACATGCTAAATGATAGTTAACTACAAAGTACTCAATCAATATAAAAGAAAACTTAAAAGATCAGCATCCTTTTTAGAAAAGACAAGTTTCAGTTGAAAGCGAAACACTGATACATAAACATGTATATCAGTGTACTTTTATTCTGAGATACACATTCATTCTGAAATTATCCTGAAAAACCTTTAAAAAAATCATACCTCCAGCTCTTAAAATATGCTCATCTGGTATTTCAAACAGCAGTTCATCATGAATTTGAACCAAAAGTCTGGAACAAATGTCTCCATTAATAAATGAAAAGGAGTGACCTTCACCTTAAAGATATCAAGTGAGCAACCTCCAGGCTCCTGAATTGACTTTCATAGGTAATTATAAATGGCAGCAATGTACATATGAGCATACAAAACATTTTATATGTGCACTCATATGGTTTTGATCTTAGATGTATCTATCTTCAGTCTTAGAAAGTGAATGGACAAATTTAATAATTGTTAAAATACTGTTATATTAAAAAAAAATCCTGGTGCCTTACTGGTAAAATGTGCCTAAGTTCCATTTTTAAAAAAATTACCATCGGAATGTGTACTTTTACAAAAGCAAGAGGCTCATGGACCACATCGCTCACCTGAGCACTTTGGCTAGAGAAAAGCAGATATCAGTTCATTATTGAAAAGTTTAAATATACAAATGGTCCTAAACTAACCCCAAGGGGGTCATGATTTGAACAAACTTGAATCTACACTACCTGAGGATGCTTCTATATTAACATTACTAATCATGACTTTGTTATTCTTGAAGAAAAGAAATTTAAAGATACAGTTGAACTTCGGTATCTCGAACACTGATATCTTGAATATCATGGTTATTTTGAAGTGATTTGGAAGTCCCAAATGCTTATTCCTTAGGTATTTCACCCTGGATATCTTGAATCCTCAGATATCTCAAAGTATTTTCTCCATCCCATCGAGTTCAAGATAACCGAGGTTTGATTGTATTTCACATATATGTCTATGAATAGCTTTCTTCCACCGTTGTGGTCCTGCCCTACCCCCTTGGGCCATGATTTGAACAATTATAATCTGCCTGAGGATGATTCTATATTAATATGACTAATCATGGCTTTGCTATTCTTGAGAGATTTTTAAAGATATTTCCTATGCACTCCTAGAATAAACTTTGATCCCATGTTATGCCCTGCCCTACCCTTCAATCAGAAAAGCTCACTGAGCCTTCATCTCAGGTGAGCTAATAAGCCAAACTGAGGTCAAGGAATTCATACCTTACTTGAAGATCTGAATGTTGAAGTAGTGTATGTTCCACTTGAAGCATTGCTGCTTTGCATAAGTCAGCAGCAGAACCTAAAATATATTACTGAAATTCAAGCTAAACAATAATCTCTTGCTAACCTAAATATTACAATTTACAATATTAACAATTTACAAAACAATATTTTTTTACCTTGAACACAGAAATTGACAGCCTTCCTCTCAGCTTGAGCTCTAAGTGGTGGGGAGGGGTGGGTAATGTTTGGGATTATTCTCCTCCTTTTGAAAATAGATTCTGTGTAGCCTGTTGGATATAATTTAATATTAGAATTGTATATATTTTCATTCCTAGTCTTAAGTTTAAAAAACATGTACATGTACATTACAATAATAATGGAGCACAAGAAAAAAATTGTAGATATTAACAGAAATCAAATATGCACGATATACCTTTTTGCCGACAAAATTCAATACATTTCCTGGAGAAATGATTAACAGCAGGAAAGGAAACTGTGAAAGAATTTTTATATGTATGTATTTACAAAAACCAACTGTATCTTGGTAAATTATTAATTTACAAAACAACCATTAAGCCTAGGAATATAAAATTCAGTATATTTTTCTCAACAATAAACTGAAATACAAATGCCCCCACAGTGGTCATTTCTGATCATAAACAGACTCGGGTTACCGGTATATACTTTTTCTGCCAATGAACTTGAACTTTCCCAAATGATACACAATAAATACATTTACATAATAAACAAGAGGCCCAAGGGCCTTAATGGTCACCTGAGTATAATACAACAATTTAGAAGTTAAATACACTGATAGATGAAGCTTTGTTGCCCTAAAGCAAGAGAAGTAGGAAGATCAGGATCAGCAAAATAATTAGTCTAGTATTCAGTATCAACTTAAGTTCTAATCTGTCCCCCACTTACATGTAACACTATCACCATGCACCTCTAGCATTGACCTCTCTTATGGTCTTTGAAGAACTTTTAATAAGATAAGTTATTTTTGTCTCATTTTTATTTTTCTATTACTTACAGGTCTACCTGATTATTAAAACTAAGAAAATACTTCCTGAATTATATGATAAACATTCTTGCATAATAATCTTATTCTATTAACCTTTCAAATACATTATTTACAGTGATTAATTATCAAAGGTGAATGGAAAAGGGGAATAACTTCTCTCAGTAGAATACAAATTAATAGAGCCCTGCCTAGGACTAGAATGCTTAGACAAATGGTCCAGATGTTCAAAAATCTGGTAGAAATACACTTACTTATATCATTTAAACTTTTACTCAGTTTTCTTCCGATATGCCCAGAAGCAGAGAAGAATTTCACAGGTACAATGCATTTTCACTGCAGATTCAACCCTAACACCAGAACCCAAGGGTCAAGAAATTTACGAATTTGGAAGAGTTACCCTCATCATCATAACTATGGACTTCAAAGAATTAACACTTTTCCACTATATTATCAAAAGCCCCCCCCCCCTCCTTATGCCAGAACCCCTGACCCTATGACCACAAGATTTAAAAATACTGTTCGAAGCTCCAATTTTCATCATAGCTAAGCAATTTAATTATCAGCTCAACGCTAAGGAGCAGACAGGATTAATTAATGATTAATTAATAGAATTAATGCTTTTTCTCTATATAATCAATAGAGCCCCCCCCCCCTTCCTCAAGAACCCCCAAAAGTGAGGCCATATATTTAAAAATTTTGGAAGAGGCATCCTTGCCTTTCATAATCATGCACTTAGTAGTTTGTTTAAATAATCTCCAGTAGCAGAGAAGAAGATTTTCAAAGAATCAATGCATTTTCACTATATAATCAATAGAGCTTCATCCTAACACCAGAACCCCTGACCCTGGGGCCATGAAATTCACAATTTTTGAAAAAGGCATCCTTATGCATCATAACCATGCACTTAGTTTGTTTAAATAATCTCCAGTAGCAGAGAAGGAGATTTTCAAAGAATTAATGCATTTTCACTATATAATCAATAGAGCCCCGCCCTAACACCAGAACCCCTGACCCTGGGGCCATGAAATTCAAAATTTTTGAAAAGGCACTTTTGCTCATCATAACTATGTACTTAGTTACTTTATTTAATACCCAGCAGCAGAGAAGAAGATTTTCAAAGAATTTATGCTTTTTCGCTATATAATCTATAGAGCCCCGCCCTGACACCAGAACCCCTGACCCTGGGGCCATGAATTTCACATTTCGGAAGAGGCACTCTTGCTCTTCAAAATTATGTACTTAGTTACTTTATTTAATACCCAGGAGCAGAGAAGAAGATTTTCAAAGAATTAATGCATTTTCACTATATAATCAATAGAGCCCTGCCCCTACACCAGAACCCCTGACCCTGGGGCCATGAATTTCAAATTTTTGGCTCTTCAAAACTATGCACTAAGTTACTTTCTTCAATACCCAGGAGCAGATAAGAAGATTTTCAAAGAAATAATGCACTTTCCCTATATGATCTATATAGCCCCACCCTGGGGCCATGAATTTCACAATTTTGGAAGAGGCACTCTTGCTCATCATAACTATGTACTTAGTTGTTTTATTTAATACCCAGGAGCACAGGAGAAGATTTTCAAAGAATTAATGCATTTTCACTATATAATCAATAGAGCCCCACCCTAACACCAGAACCCCTGACCCTGGGGCCATGAAATTCACAATTTTCGGAAGAGGCACTCTTGCTCATCATAACTATTACTTAGTTACTTTATTCAATACCCAGGAGCAGAGAAGAAGATTTTCAAAGAAATAATGCACTTTCACTATATGATCTATACAGCCCCACCCTGGGGCCAGAACCCCTAACCCTGGGACCATGAATTTCACAATTTCGGAAGAGGCACTCTTGCTCATCATAACTATGTACTTAGTTACTTTATTTAATACCCAGGAGCAGAGAAGAAGATTTTCAAAGAAATAATGCACTTTCACTATATGATCTATATAGCCCCACCCTGGGGCCAGAACCCCTGACCCTGGGGCCATGAATTTCACAATTTTGATAGAGGGCTTAATGCTTATTACAATGATGTCAACAGTTTGACTGCTTGATGTCCTGGAGTAAAGAAGAAGATTTTTAAAGATTGCATTATTTTTGGTGGTTTTAGCCCCACCCCTCAGGCCCCAGGGGGGGCAGGGACCATGAAATTCACAATTTTTGTTTCCCTTTACCCATAAATGCTATATGCCAAATTTGGTTGAAATTGGTTAAGCAGTTTCAGAGAAGAAGCTAAAAATGTTCAAATGTTAACACACGACGCACGACGCATGCCGACGGACGAGAACGGATAGCAATAGGTCACCTGAGTGACTCAGGTGACCTAAATAGAGACTCTTTGCAGAATTAGTTTAAATAAAAAATCTGAAAAATGCTGCAAGAAACAGTGGAATGTCAAGCTGATTAAGGCAAAATCTAACCTAATTTTCTGAAAAATATTCAACTAACATATATGGTATGATACAGATATATGGCATGTGTAATATGATTTTTCATAAATGATGTGTGTGTGTGTGATTATAATTTACCCAAGAAGCTATCTATAATATTTTTAGCCTCTGCAGGTGTGATCTTCAAGTACTCTGCCAACTTTTCTTTTCCTACAAGAAATACAAGATATACGAAAGAGATTTCAGTACGTATTTAATATGACTTACTACCTGTAAAGTTAGTATCTCCAGCAAGTGTATTAAAAACACCTCTTTTGCATCATTACCTGCACCATACATGACAGAGTAAACTATTCTCTTTGTCTGTTCTCTTTCTGATGAGGTAACATCTGCTTGCGACTTTCTTAGCCTGTTCAAACAATGTGAATTAAAAGGTTTAATAAGGTAGAACCTATGCCGGAAAAGTCTTAATACCACAGGATTTTCAAACTTATCAAAATGAGTAGTAAGCACTCACTTATTAATCAATTATTAACTAGAGATGAAGTGCATGTAATGAACAAATGATTACCACTGGGCTGTAAGCTCTACAAATATGTCTTTGGAATCATTGTCTTTGAACAGTCTTAAAAGTGTTGAATCATTGGCCAAATGAGCCAGCAGTCTCAATTCTATTTGCTGAAAATCTGCAATAAAATTAAAATATCTCCTCAAAGAAATTTCTTAAGTATTAAAACATAATTACAAATGAATAAATGCAAGGAAGGCAAGGAAGGCAAGGAAAAAATCAATGAAAAATGGAAAATATTTTAAAGATATCTTGAGCTGTATTTAACAGCAATTAACTATTTGACACTGGTATTAAAATTATTAATCAATAACTAATGAACTCTTCTTTGCATTCAAAAAAAGTTTTAATAGCCAAACTGCCATTAATGTAGAATTAAATGTGTGTAAAATGTAGGCGGCAATCTCGAGTTTGTGTGCGCATAGTTCTTTGTACATTTTGTACAAGAAATAAACTATTCAAGGGTCATTTTCACAAAATATTAGCATTACTAATTAGTGTTTTTTTTAAATTCCTGTACCTGCAGAAAGAAATGACCACCCATCATGACTTATAAAAGAGTCTCTGGCAAATATCTCCACACTTTTCTCTCCAGTTTCATTGCCTAAAATTTATAAAGACTTAATTAAATGCAATATCTTTGGTCCTTCATCAGTAATATGTCAGATTCTATTCAATATGACAGAGACTAGCACCACACAAAGATATTTAGATACATCAAAGTAATACTTGTACCTTTTTTCATTATACAGAATTGAAATATAAGGCCTATATAAATAAATTGTGTGTTTCTGGTTCTCCGACCGACCCTTAAATATATGAGTCAACCCTGAAAAATTTATCTGCAAATATCTCTCTGGAAGTAAACAAATCTGTTTCACCATTAGAAATCCTAATCTTGATCACTTCTGTGTTTTAGAAAATGCATATCCTATATGCAAATAAATCGGAAATGTTTTGACAGGGATTTCCCTGTTGAACTTTAAACGATAAAATGTTAAAATAAAATGTTTTCCTTACCTACCTACCCTATTTTTTCTCAGGTTGGAATAGGAAACACACAATTTATTTATCTTGGCCTAGGGCAGTCAAACCTTTTTATCTTAAACCTGATAGGACTGAGAGAAACTTTGAGATATCCAAGAATTCAGGATATCAAAGGTAAAAAAAATTTTATGGTGTATATTTTTCCTTCTTCTTTAGACCGTATTTTATTTTTTTAAAAAATGATTTAAATTAAAGGTTAAACAGCCAACTGTAATGGGGACAGGTAATATGAAACACCCTGTACATAGGTAGACAAGAGGCCCAGGGGCCTTAACAGTCACCAGAGTGTAATAAAACACTGTAAAGGATCAATATAGAATAACACAAAATAAACTGAAACTTAACTAGAGGTACTGTGATAGAGCTCACAAAATGATACATGTGTGCATTTTTTTTTATAAGTGTCCATTCAAATTTTGTAAATGTGACCTTAAACTTGCCAAAAATACCTTGGTTAAAGAAATGAAACATCAGGCCATCTTTAAAAAAAAAAAAGAAAATGTTTGTTTGCCCTCTCTGACTACCGGGTAAATAAAAACAGCCCAACTCAAAACTTTTTTAACCCCCAGGAAGCAATTATTTTTTATAGTCATTCAAAAAATTTTTTCTCATCCTATTAAGAACTACTTTAACTTCATATTTGATAGTATTTTTTAATTAAAAAAAAAAAACCCTACCTACCTAGTTTTTTTAATCCTGAAATGGGAGAGGGCAAGCAAACATTTTTTTTTAAAGATGACCTCATCTGGTCTAGGGCTGTGTATTGAGCAAAAATTTCGATACAATACGATACGATATTTTATACAGCGATATGCTATATATTGGATTTTTTACCAAGTCTATAAAAAAGTCTTGCAACTCATTTATTGCATAGATTTTATAAAATCTTGCTGTTTTATAACCCATTTCTAAGTTTTTGTCTCACTGTCATTACAAAATACTCTTCAAATTCAAACTTTTTAACGACTGATAACCCAACATGTTAAAATATAGTTATCCAGTTATTTTGTCATACTTATTTATTGTGTGGTACGTGTCTCCTTCATGTTTATATCATTACTGATCAGTTTTAATTAAAAACAGTTGAATATAATCTTTGATGATTGAAATTCTCAACTTTTTCAAAGAATTATAAGAAAAACTGCCTGCCCAATACGTATTGGAAGTTATTTTTTTGATACGATACATTCTTAAATATCGATACTTATCGATATATCAATATATTGATACAGCCCTAATCTGGTCATCAGTAATCATTTAGTAAAATATGGACATCAAATGTTTCTCCATTAGAAAATTCTAGAATTATCATGAATTTTACACTTTTTATACCAGTGACCTTGAACTTGCCAGAATGACCTTGAGTCAAGGTTATGACAGACCTTCAAGTCATAAAAATTTTTTGTTCCAAGTACATGTATGAACTTCCAATGATTCTCCATACACAGTTACAGTCCAGACAAGAATTCTATACTTAATTTTGACAGTGACCTTGAACTTTCCTGAATGACTTTCCATCAAGTCCAAACACACCCACAAGTCATAAGCAATTTTTGTACCAAGTATGACCTTTTCAGTGATTCTCCATTACAAAATTAACCGGGACATGAATTTTATACTTTTCCTGTCAGTGACCCTGATTTTATCAGAATGACCTAGGTTGAAGGTCAAGACATATTCTCTGATCATAAATAATCTCTGTGCCAAGTATGAGCTTTCAATGATTCTCCATTGCTAAGTTACTAAGTATAGCCCAGACAAGAATTTCATATCTTTCTGTCTTTGACCTTGAACTTGCCAGATGACCTTGAGTCAAGGTCAGGACATTTTCTCTAGTCATGAACAATCTCTGTACCAAGTATAAGCTTCCAATCTTTCTCCAATACAAAGTTAAATCCTGGACAAGAATTTTATACTTTTTCTGCCAGTGACCTTGAATTTGCCTGAATAACCTTGGGTGAAAGATAAGACATTTCCTCTGGATATAAGCAATCTCTGTATCAAGTATGAGCTTCCAATGATTCTCCATTACAAAGTTATAGCCCGGACAAGATTGTAAAAACAGACGGACAAGGTGATGCCTATATAACCCCAAAACTTATTGACATTAGTAAATGATTTATTATAGGTGAATTTATGTATTTTTTACTATATGACCCAAAGAGCCCTTCCCTATCCCCAGAATCTCTGACCCTGGGGCCATGAATTTTACTATTTTAGTTTTGGTTGGGTTCCAATGCTCATTACTATCATGCCAACAGTTTGACTGCTTGATGTCCAGGAGAAAAGAAGATTTTTAAATATTGCATTAATTTTGATGCTTTTAGCACCACCCCTCAGGCCCCAGGGAGACAGAACCATGAAATCAAAAATTTTTGTTCCCCTTTAACCAAAGATGCTATATGCCAAAATTGGTTGAAATTGGTTCAGTAGTTTTATTCAGAGAAGCTGAAAATTTTCAATTATTAATGCATGATGCACAATGCACAACAACAGACAAAAGCAGATAGCAATAGGTCACCTGAGTGACTCAGGATACCTAAAAGAGTGATTGGGTTTTTGAACTCACTTCAAGATATCAATGTATGTGATCAAAATTTTCAGATACTGAAGTTCAACTGTATATGTATTCAACTATGACTCTGGATGTGAATTCAAAAAAAATTAGTCTGGAAGAAAATGGTGCCACATTTTTACCAAAGTTAATGAATACTTTTTAAATTAATTGATTTTTATTGTTTTAATTAATGACAAGGCTAAAAAATTATGCACAACTTAATTCTTTTGTAGTGTTATAAGATTCAAGTTCTCCATTCAATTGGAGCTACGATAATCTACTTTGTGTGTTATATTAAGAATAGGTAAAATGGCTAAAAGTTTTTATCATATTGTAAATATAATATTGTGGAGGCATATTGCACTCAGCAAGGCTGCGTGAGCATGACAACTACATAGGTAACTCCTACCATCAACGCATTGCTTGGTTGTACTGTTGACAGAGATTAAGCTGGAAGTTTTAGGGATGGCCTGTATGTTGGGAGAGTGTGATGAAAGACGACCAGTTGCTGCTGAGGTTTGGTCCCAATGTGTTGAAAGGTACCCATCCACAACGGCACTCATCATTCCATCTATATATGTGGATTTCAATTTTTGAAGCTAAAAAATAATTGTAACTTCATTTCTGCTCTTCACTCCTTTCATAAAACTGATATTTTCAAAGTGCATATAAATTCAATCTAATTTCAAATAAGTAGACATGTCAGTCATTCTTCCAAACTAGCTCTCAGTAAATAAAACGTCAAATTGAAGTATCAAATAAACTTAGTATTATCAGGAGTTGTCCCCCTTTTAATGCGTTTCAGCAAAGATTGAAATCAAGTTATAAACTAAAGCATAAATTAAACTCATGTTTTGAACAACAGTGTTTTAATATGAAATAAAAATGGTAACATTTTTCAACAACACTGAAAATTTTACTTGAAAAATGTCTTTGAAAAGGATAAAAAGTTCACAATCAAATGGATCTTGGGAGGAACAGTAACTCTGATCAAAGCTTTTATTCCATAAAAAGGGAAGAAAAAACTACTAAATGCACTTTATACAATTAAATCTTATACAATTAAAAACATATCATAAATTCTTGAGCAAATCAAAAGTATAAAGTTTATTTTATTTCATAATATGTAAAAATTTGAACATATGAATAAGTTTAATAAAATATTAAAACTATTTTTTTTCTTATAGATGATGAATTATATATAATAAAAAATACCTATATTTAGTTTGATCAAAAAAAAAGCAAATCTCTTGTCAACCACATGTACGTTTCAATATGAAACATTACACGTCAGAATAAGAGTAGATGAATTCCTGGCTTTGGAAGCAGGCAAATGCTGATGTGCATTCACCTGTGCCGAAAAGGCCAGGTACAGATCAGATTACAACTGTTTAAATATTATCAATTAAAAGTTGTACATATACATGTATAATTACATGTACTACCTGTCTGTACTCCAATATGACAGCAGGGAGAGGGTGTAGTTCTATCAACTGTGTTAGTACGGATTCCGAGGTTGACAACTGGTGTCCCACTGCTGTTTTGGCAAGCTTTGTGTTGCCCAATAATTTTGTGTGCAGCTTCAGTTCTTCAAAAAGGACCTAATAAAGTGTATATACTCACATATAAATCTTTCTTAAGGACCCTCTATACACTTATGAAAAATATTTGATGGACATTGAGAAAATTATAACATATTTAAAGTACATGTACTTACCGAGTTTATCTACATGTATTTTGTTTCGAGCATATAATACCAGTCATTTAACCCAAGGAAAGTTATTCAAAGACAAAGAGATATTGATGAACAAAAATAAGTGTTGCTTACTCAGATGTGGAAAAATACATGCAAATAAATTCAATTAATCTATCATGGCCTAATGAATGATTAGATCGATTCCAAATTGAGTAATATATTGCAGATTTCAATTTATTTTATTTTAGGTTACTCTAACTGCAAAAATAACACAGAATTAGAATCTTTAATGTGCAGTGTTAATAGAGGGTCCTTAAATATGCATGATCATGAAATATTTTTTTTCTTTTTTTAATTAATAGACTTTTATATTTTTATACAACATACTGAATTGAGAAAAAAATGTATACAACATTACAATCTCAATGTCAGAGCAATTTTTCAAACCTCTGACCTGCCGAATCTGAGCTGGACTGTTGATGGTAAAGGAATGTCCCACAATTTCATGTGCTTTGTGTTCTAAAGATTCCATTTTCCTCTACAAGAAAATGTTATTTTAAATATAGAATTTTGTTATAAAACCTCACAAAGCAACAGACTGGTTTGAAACTTTGATAGATCTCAGTCAGCATGCAATTTTATTTTTCAGCTTTACAGTACTTCTTAATGAAAATTTGTACCTGTAAAATTTCAGAGAATTTAAGCATGGTGTCTGTATGGACTTTGACTTTTCTGGTGTCCATAACTGCTAAGATAGGTGTCAATTTTATCTCCACATTAAGAAATAACTGCATCAGACTTTTAGAGCAAAGTGTTTGGAATTGCCTTTGCATCAGTTCCAACAATAAGTCTAAATCTTCAGAGAAGGCATTATCTCCAAGGTTATCAATGGACATTTTCTTCAAAAAAAAAAGTTGAAATTATTAAATACAAATACATAATTTAAATGTAACTGTAAGCATTTAAAATGAAAAAAAAAAAAACAAAACAAAAAACAAAACAAAAAAACAATGGGCAGTAACACCTAAGCAAGTCTCATTTCTGGCTTAGTTGTTTCTTTGAAAATATTTTTTATGAATATTTCCTTTACATTAATTTCCAGGTAGAAAATTAAAACCTACATGCTGTTGAGTCTGATGAAAACCCATATTTATAGGCCATGCCCTGAAAATAATTATAAACTACTCAGCATGGGGATGCCTGTACAGTAGCCCAAGAATTTTTGTACAAATCCATCCAAATTTTATTAGTAAACTCTCTTTTGGCCTTGTTTACCTTTCAGTTAAACAAACTTGAATTCTCTTCATTCTAGGATGCCCTACTGAGAAGGAGTTCAAGACTTACAGATGGACAAAAGATGAAGTTTGATTAGAAGAGTTTACTTGAGCTATCAGACCTGATGAACTAAAATATTTTAAGTTAACAAACCTTGTTTTGTATTCCATAATTGTTGAGCATTTGTTGAAAGGTTGATGATGATTTATCTGGATTTAATAACCATTCAGCAACAACTGGATCCCAAACAGTTGATGCCAGAACATCTACAAAAGAGATCAACTCTATTTCTGGATTTAATTGTGCTTCCTTAAATGTTTGACCCCCCCCCCCCCCCCCAATTTTTTTTTTTTTGATATCTTTTGAATGATGTGACATTACACACATATGTATGCATATTGGGTATTAAATAAGTGAAAATATTACAAAGAATTTTACTTCTCAATTTTTTCTTTTGGTGAAAAGCATCACTTCTTAATATTTTCTGCTACTTATGAGAAATGCACACCACCGTTTCCTTTTCTACTCTTGTGGTCTGTTTCATATAAAATTAGTTCTACTACAGCTATGTGAAATATAAATCAGCAAACCTTTCTGTGGATTGTCGTCATAAGTTTTCTCCAGGCATCTCACCATGACAATTAGAAAATCTTTTGCACCAAAACATACTTTTCTACCTCCACTGTTCAATAGTTGTTTAAAAAAGTAACTAGAAAAAAATCAAATGTCTTTTGTAAAATGACATTCTCTGTTCACTGAAAAGGCCTACATCAGTAAGCAAATAGAAGACATTTCCGTTTGTTAAATATACAGTATTGTGAATGTTCATGTGCAGATATGTTATTATTTTTTTTAAAACTTCACAAGTTTATTAAAAATGTTATAAGTATTGTAAATATTTTTCATACTACAATGTAATTATGTTTCAAACAAATAGAAATGAACATGTAAATTACTCAATCTGCTCTTGGACTGATGCATCCATTATTTGTAGAGCTGGTATATAAAGAACATCATGCTCCAATTTACTTTTCAAATACACTCCAGAAACCTACAGTTACAAGTTTAGTCTTACTTTAAAGAATTCAGTGTGTTCAAGAGAGGACTACAAACACATTAATGATTTGACTCCTGTTTCATATACAGCTAAACCAATTTTATCATATAGCAAAGCTGAATTTTTTTGCGAGGTGCTAACTTTGGTTTATTTTAGCGGTTTTGTAGTAGCCCACTAAAATTTTAAACACTAAATTTGCACCCTTGTGTACCCTTGTTTAAGTACTGAACCCAAGACAGATAACTTTGATCAGTTTAAGAGTTCCTCTTTCTGCACTTTCTGGTACATGTACTAAAGTGTCTGCATTGAACTTGTTATGACATTAATTCATGATTTGATCTATTCTGATGTAGAATTATTGTTTTTAGTGTTTCTTTACATATCTAAGGTACCTAAAGCACTCTCCTTTTAAGCATATAAAATTATGCTCCTGGTTTGCATTAATTGTTGTGAAAGTCTGTCCAAAAAAGGCTCTGCCAAAATTATTGTTATACCTTTGAGCAAGCAAAACACCAAATTTTATACCTGCTAAAGAAACCTGCTGTACAAAAATATGCTTATAAACAGGTATGTAAAAAAATAGGCCATACATCTGACAAACTAATTACTAGAGAGAAATTTTAAGTGTCCCCCCCCCCCCCCCCCCTCAGAACAAAGAAAAAAGTATCTTGATACCTGAGATATGGCTTTCATTTTCATATTACTGCATTTCTTCTACAAAGTAAAGATAAATCTGCTCTAAAAAAAGCCAATGTACACCAATTCCTGAATTTATCAACCTTAACATAAAGCAAATCCAATTTTGTTACTTTTGCACTGTTAGCATCAGCTTTACTTTCCCTTAGCTGTGTTGCTCCGTCTGTATAAAGAAGTGTAATTGCTGTTTCTTTACTCTGTAGGAACTTATCAAACACTTTTCTTCTTTCACTCTCTATCATGTCTGTAACATTGTGAGTGCTATAAGCTGCTTGCGTCTTCAATGATTTAAATTTACTCTGGAGAAGAACATAAATTTGGCTAATGACACTTTCAGAAGTTCAGTCAATGGAAGAATCTTGACCATATCGCGCAAGTCAAAAATTAATATTCTGAAATTCCAACAAAGTGAATATATTTCAAGGTTACATGTAGCAATTCAAATTTTTGTAAATTTTTCTACGTTTAAAACAAATGTCTGTTACAATGCATATTTTAATATTAAAATACAAAGATTTTACCTGAATTTTTCCTTCCTCTTTCTTTTTCTTATAAGGTACAAAATACTGGGGTAGGGTTATCTTTGGATTTCTGTCTAGAAAAACAGACACACATAATCATTTAACATCTGCAGCCTCGTTGACATTTATCATTTTAAGGTTGATGATGCTTCCTTGAATTATCTTTGTAAACTATAAATATACCATGAAGTGATATCCAAAAGGACTATATATAGAGAATATTACACACTAAAATCCACATCATGGGCTGAAATGGGGCCCAAGGGCTGATATGACATATGATATGGATTTTAGTATGTAGTATTCTATTTATCATTATTATATTTAAAACACTTAATATGCGAGTTAATATAAAGTCATTGAAGAATGTTTCATGCATGTTTATGACCTTTTTCTTTAAAAACTAATAGCGCCAGTATTTGGTCTTTGAAAATAAAGTAAGTCCACAAATGTTAGTAAAGAATTATTTTACGTGTATATTTAAATAAAATCAAGTTAATTAACTTTTAAACTTTACTTCTGGTTTGATATGGATTTTTGCGCGCTGGTCAGATACATGATATGGATTTTCAGAGCGGTCCTTGATATGGGGTATTGTGACGTCACCCGTATCACAGAGTGCAGAATCGTCATATTTACTACTAAGTATATGATAAATAGGAAATATCATTCTCTGGTATTTTTACTAGTAATGTGCCTCATTTTTTAATTTTGTGAGGAAACTTGATAAAACAGCAGTGTTTCACCTACCAATCACAAGTTCTTGAGGAATATTACATTTTATTGAGGAACAAGTCATCTGACCTTAAATAGAGGTACATGTAGAATTGGAATTTAAACTTTATATTAAACAACTTTACAAAATCTTCGACCATGTATCTCTTCATGCTTTTCTTTGATTCTTACCCCCTTTGTTTTGTTCTTTCCCATCTTCTTCATTTTCTTGTCTTTAAATTGACATGTAAAGGATTTTTAATATTAAATAACACAATGAAATCAAAGCTACAAAGCAACTTTAATAAATTTCAAACAAGCTAATTCAGGGAATTTGTGTCCCCTGCGTTCAACCTTGTGACCTTTCAACCAAGGCCTTAAAGTCAATAGTCTTTTTTGAAGTTAAAGAAATGCATGCATGACTTTAAGTCTCATTGCAAAAAGCTAACAGAGAACTTAAGTTATCATCTGAAAACTATGGATGCAATATATGAATTTCTGACCTTGATATTTAGCCATTTTATGCAAGATAAATTTCTCATCCTGACCTTTTGACCAAAACAACAATAAGGATCTTTTTTAAATCAATGTGAGTAATGATACATAATTTCATTGAAAAAGCTCAAGGAAAACTAAAGTTATCATCTGGAAACCATTTTCTGCATTGTGTGAATTTTCTGAACTTGACCTTTTGACCAAAATATTATTATTAATAAGGAGTCTTCCTTAAGAGATTGAGAATTACAATATAATATTTTTTATGCCACAAAAAGTGATACATAAAATTTCATTTCAAAATCTCAAAGGCTTTTTAAGATATCATTCAGAAATGAAAGTGTTATACACAGACAGAAATACAGACAAACAGACAGATGGATGGAGATAGACATTAATATCCCCCACTTTCAGTGAAGGCATGAGACAATTAAAATATGAATGAACATTTATGAATTAAACATTTAACATACCGGTATATGTATATTTGCAAAATGACCCTGACACTTTACCTCCACTTCTTTTGCTCATACAATCTCCTTGCAATTTTTGAGCTAAAAGTGCTTTTTCTATTAGCAGTTGTTCCACATGGAGTCATTTCAACATCAGCTGGAATAGACTCTCTATCAGGACCAGCTTTTTCAGAGATTTCTGTTGAGAAGTCCACTTCACTGACAATTTCATCAGGATCTTGAGAAAAGAGGAGTTGGGAGAGCAAAACCTCTTCAGCATCCCTCTTACATCCATGATCATCAGTAGACAAGACAGCATTGTTAAAGAACTGGTTTGAAACATTACTACCCTCGTTAAATTCTGGATGTTTATGTCTTTCTATTCGCTTTTCACATATTTCATGTTGCATGTTGAGAGAAAGAGTGCAATCATCAGCTGAGACTTGGCTTTTATTTTTAAATCTTCCATCTACATTATCTGCACCCTTATGGTTCATCTCAAATTTATTTGCCTTCAGATCCAAGGAGTTTTCTTTATTAGAGTGGAAATAAACATCCTGCTGATTTTGGCAGATATCACCTGGCCTTGATGACTTTGGTATTATGTCAAATTTCTGTCCTTCACATCCTGAAGACAGTGTAGTACTGCAGTCCATGTGCTGACTAGTATTTAGAGACCTATACATCCCAGGTTGGTGTGGTCCCTGATATAACGAAATACAATGCTTTTCACTTCTTTTGGTCTGAAACAATTGATGCCCATTGCAAGAACCATGAAACTGTTGTTTATATTCTTTGGCGTTATTCAAAATCCCTTTCTTCACCCCAGAAGGAGCACTCTCTGTATGAAAATTGTGTTTCTCAGACAGAGACTCAGAAAATCCACATGGTTGACCCTCTCTTCCTTCATCCCAGGACAGTATTTCGGGTTTTATTTCTAAAGGTGCATCTTTTATTGAGACAGCCCCATCAAATTTCTTCTCATAAATATTTCTGTAGTAATTTGAGACATCTGTAAGAAAAAGAAAATAGTGCAGAATTAATCATCAAACAGACTTTTACATGTAACAGTAATATACCAAATGATTACAGTCTTAATTTTTACTGAAGCTTCAAGGGCATGAGAGGCACACCTTGGTTTGGAATGGTGAAATCTGAGATGAAAAATCATCCCAAATAAAATATCTTATAAATAAATGATATGTACATTCACACATTGTATGTGTAAATGAGTAGCATCACCCATTTACACCTAAATCATACATCTAAAAATATTTATTAAATGAATATTAAAATAGTGCATGCATTTGGAATAATTCAAGAATGCATTGTAGATTTTGTATAAATTTAAAGTCATCAGACATTTATTTTATTGTTCAGTTATCTGTATTAATTCTTTATTTAAAATACAGTTAAATGGCAATGCCTTCATGAAGATCAAAGCTGTGACTTTCATCCCTCACCAACCTGAGTCATCAACAGTTTGGAAATTTAAATGAAGTAAAAAATTGCAAGTAGGTCTAAAAGGATATATCATATAATACAGCATATGCAACTCCTGCTTGAAACAGTTAACCCATGTGATTTTGATTTATTGGGAAAAAATGGTAATATTTGTTCAGATTTTCCCCTCAAATTCTAAGTATCATTATACTCAATTTACTGTTCAGTTTACGATTAGGCCAACACATATGTTTCTATCAAATAAGAAGAATATTTAATTTAAAAATTTTTTACCTTTCTGATATGACAAATGCTTTCTTTGCTCCATTTGGACAGCACCAAGAACACGCCTTGCATCTTCTGACAAGCAGGAAATCTTTTTCAGAACTGGTGCAGCAATACAGGGTTTCCAAGTTGTGTGTTCGTTCATTCTTTAGTACGTTAAATAAATCGTCTGCAAAACACAGCCATGTGATTATCATGTGATTAGCATCCCACACCCGATCCAAAAAAAAAATAGAACTCGGTTTGTATGATTGCAAACCTGTAGCCCTTTTTACAAAAAGTCTTAGGACAGATTAAAGTGTGATAACTGTCATTTCTTTGTTGATTTTTTTCTAAAGGATTATTCACTATGTATTCTAATGTAGGGTGTGTTAACCATGCATCAGACACATACCTTTAAAGGTCATATGAAACAATGTCCAGAGCATTTTTGGTTGTATACGGAAATGAGTTCATCTGAGCTACTTTAATAAGCCTGAAATTACATTTTGGATTTTTTATGCAAGTTAGTGGCAGCAGAGTGGATCAAAATTACTTGACTGCAGAAATGAACTTCAACTAGTGCGGCTTATCTCCATTGCTTATGACGTCAGTAAGACCCAGTCACTACATTGAGTACTAACATTTTATACAACTGTCTTTTGCAGCATAATTTTTAAGAAATATCATTATTTGGGCGAAAACGTCGCATAAATATACGATGTTCAAACAAGATAGTATGTGTCTTTTCACATCCTATTGCATATTTGCAAGATTTTAGTATGTTTTGTTTGTGTAATTTATTGTCTTTCTTCAACACTTAAATTCAATCGACAGAGACGATACGACAAAGAGCGGGGATCTGTACTCGAGTAACTGTATATAGACGCTGTCAAATAATTTACAATTGAATAAATTTCTTACATAAGAATATTGATGATTTGTTTTCTGATTAAAATTTTTAAGTCATGATTAGACGATGCTATCTATGTACTCGGTAGTACGCGCCTAGCTGAATTCGATTGACCGCGGTGTGTAAAATTGAAACTAAACCTGCATATAAATGACTTCATTTATTTATGGGAAATGAAATGATTCCATCGCTTTCTCGCTTTCCTTAATCACTTTTCCTCTTCTCTCTCTGGTTTTCCGTGTCTCGATGACTCTCTCTCTCTCTCTCTCCGTATTTTTTTCCTACCAAAAAGTTGGTACATGTACATATACAGTGTACACGTAACACTGTAACTATATTATAGTAATAATTTAAAAAAGTCGGACATTAAACGAAATTCTATCCACTTTTTTACAGACCGAATTGTTGAAATTTGTATCAGTTTATTTTAACACAGATTAGCCTGATTTAAAAAAAAATGAACTGTAAAAATATTAATTTTGAAAATTGTTCAGATTCAGTCTTGCAAATAATGGGGGTATGGATTTTTTTAACTGATCAATTTATGCACGAAGTGTATGAGTATTTTCAAACTGCAATTGCTCAGCCAAACTGTAAGAAGTATCAGCACCGTAACATTACAGTACATGTATATATACATGTACACTCTCGTAATGCCGGTAAGTTTCGAGCCATTTTTTTTTTTTTTTTTTTTTTTTTAAATAAAATCGTGCTTCTTGTGACAGCAAAATTACGATGATGTCGTCATAAACCCCTATTTCTATATTGTTTTTACATTAGTCCTCGTGTTTCAGATTGCAGAAAGCGCGCATTCAAATATGCCGATTTTTCATTGATCCACTTTAATTATCATCCCCGTGTTTATTTGGGGGAAAAAGGGGGGGGGGTACTCTTGAGCTACATATTTTTCCCTCTCAATATATGACACAACTTTATTTTACAGATTTTGCATGCCCATTAAATTTTTTGTCGTAAGAAACTTCAGGTCAATATTAATTAATTACACTGTTTTTTGTTGTTAATTATACAATTTAACTGGGAATGGAAAAAAAAACATCATGTATCATATACGTATCAAACAGAAATAAGAAGACTTTTGTCTCTGAAGTATTAATTTAAAATAATTAATCATAGTTAGAGGAGAAAAATCTTGATTTAGAACTACGGGGTATTCATCAGGATCATCCTACGATGAAAAGCTCTCGTTTTCAGTTGCTGTGTCTAATTAACGATTAGTTCAAATAGAGTAAACTGTGTTTTAGAATCAGATAGCTCATCTGAAAACATAATCACATTTATACCCACAAAAATGACTAAAATTAACTCAATAAAATACGGTAAAATTACATTAGATCTAATGCGTTATTTACATCAATGGGTCTTTGTGACGTCATAAAAACACAAAATCAACGATAAGCGGGTAACAAATTTATCAAGTGGACAAGTTTAGGCCTTCATTTTTCAGTTAAGCAAAGGCAATTTATTTTTACTAAACATAATTTGACTTTCTTTCATACCAGTCTTTACGTTTAAAGTGTAAACTCCTAGTGTTAAGAACTGTTTCATATGACCTTTAAGCAATAAACTTTCATTGAACCTGAGTCTTCCCGTGTTTTTACTTGTTTCTGTCTTAAAGGTGAAGAATTAAACTTTTTAATGATGCCTATTTTTATTTTCATGTTGTGATAAAAATACCAAGAATGCCCTTGACGACTAGAAGTGGACTCAATTTATTTCTTTAAACTAGATGATGATAACCCATGACAAAGGCGCGAGTTGCCATATTACTAGCACTAGATGAAATCCCGCGCAAGCGCGGGGAATTGAATTTATACCACTACCGACAGAAAAAATCCAATAATATATATATTGTAGTTTCTACTCACAGCCAACAGGCTTATAGCAGGAAGAAATACTAACTTTGTTCAAAATCGCGCATGAAGTACATGTAGAAGTACGTCTCCACAGGGACCTATATACTAGTATATAGGTCCCTGGTCTCCATCCCCACATGATTGTGTCAAAAATTTATATTTTAACCACATACTACATGTTAAGTTCCATTTTGATAATATTAGGTCGGTAGCGATATCGATAGAACTTGTTGAAGTGGGAGGGTGTCCGATGCTTGGTGAATTCATATTTAACATTTTTGCGACCTACTCTACATGACTAATGGTCGCAAAATAATTTTTGAAAAGGTATACTGGGTGGGAGGGAGATGCCACGTCGAGAATCTTGGGGTATTCTAGTTGCAAAACTGTAGCTCTCTGGTTGGGAAAATTCGGACAGACAAACTCTGGTGTGACTGTCCGAATTTTCTCAACCAGAGAGCTACAGTTCTGCAGCTAAGGGGTATTCCACTTTCTTAGTGTGACTATGATAAAAAAAACCCTTCTTTCAAGTGATCTAAATGATCTGCACTCATTTACAACATGTTACCACAATCCTTGCCATTATTAGGTCTTTCCACCTTTCTGTGGAAAGACCTCTTGAAATGCTTCTGTTTATTATTATTAGGGCTTTCCACCTTTCTGTGGAAAGTCCTATTGAAATTGTTCTGTTTATTATTATTATTATTTTTCCGCCGCGTGTTTTTGAGTTTCAAGATTTATCGAAAAGATTCATGGTCCATAAGAATGTACTTGGTAAAAGATTTTTGCAGTTGACCCTGCGTATATGAACTTTGAACCCTCGAGGAGTTATAACCCCTTTCGCAATAAATCCTTGTTATCGCTACTCCTCCGAAACCGTAAACCCTAGAGTTACGAAACCTTCACCGATGTCTTCGACTACTTAAGAATACTTTTCAATCTTGGTATTGCGAAATGATAGATCGAGCACTTTGAAGAGTAATTGCCCCCTGAAAGTTTTTGTTCTTTATGTATAATGAAAAAAATTTAAACGCTTAATCGTAGAGACACGAAACCAACTGCATTGGATTCTTCATCATCTGACCTTCAAAATCTGTTCAAGGTCAAAGGTCAAGGTCACTCTAAATATGAGAAATATAGCTCTTTTTATATCTCTTTTGTCTTACAACATATATTACATAACATTAAATACATCATATGTCCTTTTAAAACTATTTTCAGATTTCACTTTTCAACCCCTAAGCCTGATGCATTAAAAAGTTCTGGCCCCTTGTGCGAAAAACCTTGTTATCGCTACTCCTCCGAAACCATTGACCGTAGAGATGCGAATCCTTCGACAGCGTCTTCGACTACTTTAGGGACTTTGACCTTGAAATTTAGGTCAAGGTCAAAGGTCAAGGTCATCCAAAATACGAGAAATACAGAATATATGAAAGGGGGGGGGTGTTAAACCAATATAAATGTATGAAATAAACTATTCCACGCTTTAATTATCTTGTTTTCTTCTTAAAATGCATGTAGATCATTTTATTTATCATAGCTGCATTTAATATAACCCACATGGAAGCTTGTTTCATTCAGGAATCTTCTTACTGAGCCTGCAACAATCTTAGGATCCGCAGTCAGGTCGCTTTGAGTCCAGTCCATGTTTTCCTATATGACGACCTACATACCATTAGCCTCGAGTCCGATTTATTTCATCGGCACTTTTCTAAGTAGTTTAACTAAATCAGAACATTTAACACCTCAAATTAAACCTTCGAATGCACAGTGCACAAAAATAGAATTACGATATGCACAGTAAAACACATGTCATGCATGCATTGTACTTCCATGGTAACTATGTAAACAAATGCCATCAACACGGAAGCAAAAAGAAAAGAGAGAGAGAGAGAGAAAGGAAGAGAGAAGAGAAAGGAAGAGAGAAGGGGAAAGAGAGAAAAATTGGCCCCTAAATCAAATCAAAAAAAAAAAAAAAACAAAAAAAAAAACAAAAAAAAAACATCTTTTTTTGGAGCTGCGCGAAGACCTTTTGAACTCTACGGAGAAACGAGCCCGACTATAAATCTATAGCAAAAGACGAATTTTTGAGTTTTATTTATTTTCTTGTATTTTTCTCCTTCTTCTTCTTTCTTTGTTTCTTTTGTTCTTTTGAAAGCCAAATGATATGGAAACATGTTTCTCAAAACTATTTAATTCCGATAACTACATTGTACAACAATTTTTGATTCCTAAATAGGTAGTTTACTGCATACATCTTCATTGGAATTCGTGGCGTAGTGGTTAGCGCGCCTGCCTCTCAAGCTAAGGGTTATGAGTTCGATCCCTGCTGGAAGAACTTTTTTTTTTTTTTTTTTTTTTTTTTTTTCATTTTTCTTC